AAATTTTTTTAAAAAATCCGGAAAATAAAAGATATAATCTTTTCATCAGCCCACACGATTATATCCGCAAAAAAGAGTGCTTTCTGATATTGTATCAATATAGCCAAAGCAAAATATATTAATACAATAGTGTGAGGAGCACTCAAAAAATGTTTTTACAAAAATTACAATAAATAATATAGAACACAATAAGTAAAAATAACATGTAAAAACAGAAAATAAAATAAAAACAGTATAAAACATAGTCTATAAAGCGAGTAGCGAAATCAGACGTAATTACATGGAAGGGAAATTTTTCAAGAATGATTTTTAAATGTTTTCGCAACATGATTGCCAGATTACAAAATATGAAAACAAAAGCACAAATTGAGTGTAAGTAGAGGGTTTTAAAGTGCCATTCTTACTGCACTGCTGAAGCGATTTGTTATTCTGTGCATTGATTTGTTAGTTACCAAGGATGGGCCCGAAATGGATGTGCGCAAGGATGTGCATTTATAATTTGTCTTTGTTTTATCTTCATTATGAACTTATCTAACGAGTACTGTTTACTTGCAGCTTATGCGCAATAAATGAAACGTATTGTTTTTCTTAACTTTCTTCGTGTTTTCTTGTATTTATTTAGATATATATACATACACAAAGTGAGTCAAACCTGTAAAAGTTGTCCACTTGTGGTGCAATGATACAGTGGTCAACTGGTCAACTCACACAGGCGGTCAGCATATAGAGGGGAGTGAGTCATTGCTTTTGATCATTTTTTACATCATGTTACTGATATACATTTATATCTATTGTACCACTTAAAAACCATAGGAAATATTGCAGCATCAATGACTGACCATTAAATAAATTTCCTTAAATGTTGAGATTTTATTTAGTAAATACCCTTATGAATATGCTTAGAAATGATACTAATTGTTAGAATAAATTTCAATTTATAATAAAATTTTAATATTTAACTAATTAGCTTAAAAATCTTATTTTGTTAGGGGTACATGTGAGATGTTTCTCATAAATAATTTCTTATAATATCAGTCAACAAAAACATGCACAATTATGAAACTTAAAATATTTTTCATAATTTTAAAATTTATTCCTTACTGCTTACAAAAATATTTGTTGCAAATATGATCCCTTATTGTTGCTTTGCTAGGTACTGTTATTTTGAATTTACGTCAGTTCAATATCTTTAAATCAAACACAGAAATCTACTACCTTTTGCCGATATATCACATTATTTATAAAGCATATTAAAATTTGGAGGCGATCGGATGATTATGAATCTTACTTAGAGAAAACCTAACGAACTTCAATACTCAAAGTAAACCTAATATTGTAAAAAAATATATCACAGGGATTGGATGGAAAAATAATTTTTAATTTAATAACCAAATATAAAAAAATTTACTCACATCAAATTCCTTAGGCGAAAACATGTTCTTGAGTATGACAGTTTTTTCATTTTTTGATCTTTCACCTCTCAGTTTTTCAAATTTCCATTCAAACAACCTATAAGAAAAATAGAAAAATAAAAATTTTAAAATACAGTATCAGGGTAAAAAGAAGCCTTAAGTTCTTTGGTGTCAAGTAGGTGTTGCCATCTAACAGAAATGAATAGAACTAAAACAACACATTATTGTGGTATAATAAAGTCATATTAACCTGTTCTTCTTAAGTCTTGGTACATGCAATTTTATTGCATAATTTATTATGGCTTCGATATTGTAACTTCTGATTATTTTGTAACTGCGTTAAGTTGCACATACTTGTAAAGATTGCAAATAAAATAAGCATATTCTTAAATGTTTCATTGTCCTTAGTTCTGTGTACTTAAATGTGTGTTTATTAATATTCCTTGAGCAACTTCAAATCTGAATAATGGCTTCGTGGCAGAAAGGAGAAGTTACCAAGGCAATTCATATTTACATTTATAATTCACATTTACAATCAAATGGCACTTTAGAAAAGTTCACAATTTAACCATGATTTCAAATAAACATCATAAATATTTTACACTTCTGTAATATTTTACAAACAGTTTTATGGTTTTAAAGGGTTAGGACTTTTAAAATTTTAATATCAAACAATTGCTTTAACACTCAAAACCACATAAATATGAAGAAAACTTGTTTTTCTGCTTTTCCTTTTGTTGTAAATATGTGATTATCACTTGCCTTACTCCATTTTGTCCCATACTCAAGATAGGGCAAGAAATTTGATGTAATATTCTTTTTAAAATTTTTTAAAAAAAAGAGCAATCTTTTCTTTTCTTAAAATATTATTGAATTTAAAAAAAACATGAAAGTATAATGTGTACATAGAAACATTTGCAGCTTCATGCATTTACTACTTGATGATTTAAAATTTTTTTTAAAATTGAATCTGTCATCTGTCCCATATTCCCCTAGGTAAATAGCATACATTACAAAATATTATATTGCACATTAGAAACAAAACTGTTTGCAGATAGAATATTGCATTACAAAGGAGCATTTTTTTAAAAAAAACATGCAACTAAATTTATAATTTGAAACCAAAAACGTTAAAAAAAATATTAAAAATCACAAATCATTTTGCAAAATTAAGATTTTGTAAAAAATATCTATACATCAAGACTCTGCATAAAATAAATAAATGAATATTTGTAAATAAAATAGTTAACATTCTCATTTCATCAACAAAACACTAGAAATAGCTTTAGTGACCAATAAAAAGTTTTTAATGCACTAAAGGAATAATTTCAGAGAAAAATAAAAATTTATGATTCAATAGTGTACAGGTAAACAATGCAACAGGTGAGCAAACTAAATCAATAAAATGATGAATTTAGCTTGGAAAAAAATTCAGAACATAAAAGCTAAAATAAATAAAGAAATATAAAAATAACCAGATTAAAGAGTTAGAGACTGTTATTAATGCATGGGTAAAAAAGAAATGAAAAAAGAAAGGAATTAAAGACAAAAGTTAAAGAAAAAATACTATCAGTTTAGTTAAATTAATGGCACAACCACGAAGAAGATTATTTGAAATCAGTTCTATTTAAGGGAAGAAATTCTCCCATTTTGAAATTCAATATATCAAATCTTTCATTTAATTTAATTCATAATAATAAAAAAAAGATAGTAAATGATTGCTCATTGTGTATTTTTGATTAATATATAATAATAAAATACAAAGGGAAGAAATAGTGCAGAATCTGTTTACAAAACTTGAAAACAGAGATGTGCAACCAATTTAGAATAACAGGCCAGAAATATAAGAAAATATAATGCTTAGAGTCAAGAATATGACAATGCAGTAATCTTACATATGGATAACAAATTTTTTGCTTGGGTAGAAATAAAAATATATAATGCAAATTAAAATATTGCAAAATTATGAAGCAGATTTTTATGACAAGTTTATAGGTACAAAAGGGGGAAAAATTAAACAATTTTCCTTTACATTTAAAGTTAACTGTAATGATTACACAGAAAGGAAGAAATATGATCAGATACTATGTTATTGGTTACAAAGTCACTTTAAGATCTTTGAAATTTCATTTAGTTTAATTCAATAATTTTGTGAGAAATTATATTTCACTACCTATTATAATTTTAGGCTTAGAATCTATTAAAAATGACTTATTGTAACATAGGATTAAGAATCATACTAATAATTAAAGAAAAAAATTATTTTGTGACAGAATAGAGTTCAGCATAAACAAGTTCTTCTTCTTCACTTTTTATTAATATTTAAGTTTAAAAGCCTTGTGGATCACTTTTGGCTTTCAGACCATATGTTGTGCATATTTGATTGAAAAAGTTGAAAAATAAAATATGCAATGTTTAAGGACATACTTGTCGATTTTTTTCTTCAGTTTTTCTTTTTCCTTTGCCTTCATTTTCTTTGGTTTCTTAGAAGGGTCATACTGGCCTTTCAGTTCAAACTGTGCTCTTTCAACATGAATCTTTTTTCCCTTAAAATCATAACCATCTAAGATATCAAGAGCTAGTTTCACAGATTCAATCTAGAAAAGATAAATAAATTATTAAGTAAAAAAATTATAAAAAGTCAGTATCAAGAGTGTTTATGTGATACAAAGATGCATTAAGATAATGGAATGGTGGAGTTTGACGATAGGTAAACTTACTTTCAGTTAGCTCCTTTAAGTAGAAAGTGCTAAAAATTGTAACATACAGTTCACACAAAAAAGGACTAATTTGAATAACTTTTGATCTAAATGACCAGATCTTCATGTTCTAGGACTTAATTTTATTACCATTATTATTTTAAAATCATTTTAGAATCCAAAAAGAAGAAAATTTTTCACAAGAAGTCTGGATAGACAACTAGTTTTTGTAATCTATCACAAAACCAAAGACCTTATTTTCATAAAGTTAAGGGTACAATTTTTATAAAAAGCCTGGATAGACTACTGGCTTCTTAGATTTATGATTAGAAATTAAAAAAATTATGAGTAGACCCTTGATAACAGGCATGGAAATTTCCATACGTTTAGTGAATTTTCGGACTTTTTCAAACTTTAGAAGAATTCTAAATATTTCCACACATTATATAGTTTTTTTACTTTAATTTTTTAGTCTCTTTAAGCATGATTTATATGTAAAGCTTTACAGTTTGTTGGATTGTTAATGTGCGCAAAAAAATAAAGAAAGAAAGAAACAGACCACTCAGAATAACTTCAGATCCTTAGGTTGGACTTTAGGGTTCGAGATGTTGAACTCAAATATGGTAATTAATTAGTGCACAAAAAATTTTAAGCTAAAAAATCAGACTTAAAAACATACTTTTTTTGAATAAAAGAATTTTCTTTTTTTTTGTTGACGAATTCGGATTTCTGACCCCTAATTTATCTACTATCTGGGACATATGGTCTGTTTTCATAGTTAGGTCAGGAGAGCGATCCAAAACTCGAACTCTTACTGTAAATTTTTCTTTATGCGTATTTTACCATATCTTGATAACCTTTTAAGCAAATTGAAAACTTACTGCACACATTTAGAAAATTTACTTATCTATAGTAAATTTTATAAATGTGTTATAAAATTTACTTTGCACAAATACCTTACAATAAATATTTACTATGTTTTATTATTTTACTTAATAGTCGAAAAAAATTTGAATGCTGCAGTATACAATTGCTTACATCATTTCAAAGAATGGAATTTTACATGGCAAAATAAGAAACCTCAGCAAAATCAGTCGAATAGCTCCCAAGAAATCAAATTTTCAATATACTACTTCTTTAAGATTCACAGGAACTAAATGACCGATTTCGTTAAGCATTGTTTCTGATCTCACTTGTGATCTTCTGTTACGGTTATTTTTTGTTTATGCAGCCATTTCTTTTCCCTTCAGCCGTTCCTTTTTGTGTGTGCAAATTCTGATAATTATTTTGATTTGCAAATTTTAGTAGTCAAATAGAGACACTTCATTTGTGATGGTTCTATTGTTAATCTCTATCAATCTTTTATAATTTTATTTATTCCTTGGTAGCTATCATTGTTTTTTCAGTGACTTATTTTCCAAAATTTTTTAATATGACTTTCCATGAGTTCTTTAATGACTCACAAATTCTGAATTTGAGTTATCAAGATCATCATGGAGTCATCACTGATTATTTTAGCTATTTCCACGTGTATTTTTTTCTTCTATAATATCTTTAATATGATATTAATACGAGATGCAAATTTCAAACTTCTGTTGTAATTTTTTGACGAGCTCTGCTAAAAATGATTCTATTGTAAATTCACATCATTTTTCTGAATTTATTTATCATTTTTCGGCCCATTTTCACCCGATTTTAATGTTATTAATATGCTATTATCATGAAACGAAAATACGATTTTGAATAATTACTTCTCGAAGTGTTCGCAAAATAAATATTTCGCAATTTTGTTTAAAATATCATGACTTTTTTCAGAACTTTACCAATTAATGACTTTCATAATTTTGAAGATGATCGTGCGTCCGCCCACTCGTTTTTCTGCCATTGCTCATTAACTCATATATGACGAAGATTCTAACAATATGAGAGGTTTTGAATAAGCTGTTATTTCTCCCGCGAATTTGACAGCAAACATTTACATTAAAAGCCTACTATCCTAATGTTTTGGATAGAATGCTGTAATTTTGTATCTGGCTATCATAAGAATTTGATGTACTAGAGCTGTATTTTATTAAAATGTCAAAAAGAAGATGAGTCACTTATACATCTGTACTTAAAGTAATCTTAAAAGCTAAAGAAGATGGAATCTGTGAGGCTGGTCATTTATTTGATGTGAATGAATCAAATGTGCACTTCTGGCAACAACAAAAAAGAAGTCATTATCATTACAAAGTATAATGCATGTCATATTTTCATCATTTTCTTAAGTATATATTAAAATTATATTGTGTAGTGACAGAAGATAATATGCTGGTGATAATATCCTGGTAATTCCTTATTTTTCATTTAGAATAGAAAATTACAGTTATTATTTTTCAAAACATTGAAATAAAATAATGAAACATTTCATAACTATATTTACCTTTATATAACAACATCTACCATCACCCTTTGGTACTCCATTTGAATCTCTGTAAAGCTTGATTTTATATTTCATAGTGTGAGGATCTTTCATGATGAGTCCACATTTTGACATCAATTCAATAAATTCTTCGTCTTTAATATCATCAGGTAAGCCTGATACATAAACATTTGTATTGTGATCATCATCCACTTGAAACCAGGCTAAGGGATTGGGAATTGTTCATTAAATTAAAATTCCAATTTTTTTTAAACTTTTTATCCTAAGCAATTCGATTATATATATATTATGCAATTTCAATTTTTATATCTAGAAATCTTGAAACTCTGGCAAAATCTAGAAATTCTGTTACCAGCCAGTTGTCAGTAGTTGCATCTTTAACGAAACCAACTTAATAAAAATAGAAAGTTCTAGACCAGGGGTTCCCAACTTCCTGCCATTTGACAGGTGTTTCAATTGCGGCCGGGGACCGCAATTAAAACACCTGTCAAATGGCAGGCCACAACTTTATCAAAATTTTAAATAGGACTCTTTTATGTTTGAAGGAACATTAAGTATTACTGTAAGATTTTTATCAAGTTGTACAAAACAAACATATTGAATTACAAATTAAAATAAGAAGTAGATTTTTAAGCAACACACAGGATTAATTTTGTATTTGAATAAATATTTTCTTCGATGCAAACCCTGAGAAATAATTTTTTTTGCACCGTTGGTANTCGCGAGTCGGATGCTGCCCGAGGGGGCCGCCAATTGGTAACCACTGTTCAAGACAATTAAAAACATTTGTAATATTTTAAATAAAAAAATTTCTTCTGAAGGATTTCTCAAATTGGCAGAGCAATGTTAAATTAGAAGTAGTGGTAAATGGTTAAATTGTATGGTGAACTTTTAAGGTAAATAATATTTCAAATAAAAAAACTTAATATTAAATAATTTATTCCTTTGCATCACTTAAATAATAGAACCTTCCTTCCTAGTTTATTACTTTATCAATATTTCTGAGGTGACAAGTTTAATATATCACAAGAGGAAAGCTTTTGAATGAACTAAGAAGAAATATTTTAGTAATTTGATAGCCTTAATTATGAAATTCTTTGCTACAACAAATTACTCATATACATTTTTATGGTAGTTTTTGTATTTCAAACATCCATTATGAAATGGTGAAAGACATATTTGAAAATCTTGTTTTTATGAACAGGAAACAGAGCAGTGAAACAGTTAGTTAATTCTTCGTGGGTGAGATGTGCATGATGATAGAACATTCAAAAACTAGAAATTAGCACATGAAAAAGCCAGATATTACACATTATAACACATTTTGCAAAAATTAAATTTAGAAAAAAATAATAATTCAATAGTTAGAAATATCAAATATACAGAATAGCAGGTTATTTTATTATCTGATATGCAACTAAGTGGCATGACTATAAATAGAAAACTAATAAATGTTTTTATAGGTTCTTTTAAATTAAACAATAATTTTTTACATGATAGTTAATTCTATAATGTGATATTTAAATAGTTCAACTAAACTCATACTTAAAAGAAATATATTTCAAACATTTCGGTAATATTTACAATTTTACAAATATATTTCAATCACATTTAAACATATTAACATTTTGAAATTTGTTTTGCTATAATTATTACTTAATAATTAATTTTATGTTTTAAGCCTAAAAAAATGCTTTTCAAAAGTTAGTGGTCAGTAAATAAAAAATAATAATAATCTGACTTAAATTTAAAAAAAAAAAGAAGTTTTTTTTAATTTTTTCCTTAAAAAATTAAAAATTTTCCAAACTAATATATTTTTAACAAAACATGAGTGAAATCAAAGTTAAAAAAGCTGAAATAAAATCAGACCTAATGTAATACACTATTCTCTAAATTCAACTATCCATAAAATTAAAAAAACAATAAAATTACTGTAAGATACCAGTGACTGACACAGCCTAAGTTCAGTGCAATTACTGACAGTGTTAATACACATCTACATACTGTAAATCAGGGATGCACAACCTACAGCCCGTGGGCCAAAACTGGCCCTTGAAGTATATGACTTGGCCTTGAACAGTTTTAAATGTTAATAAAAATATATCAGGCATTTTTAATAAAAATATTAGAAAATTAACCTTCTGCTTTTAGAAATAAAAATCCTTTAATTTTAAATTAAAAATAAATGAAAATTTTATTAAAGTGAAAAAATTAAAATCATCACTGAAATAAATATAATGATAAACATAAAACTGCAGAAGTACAAGAAAACAAGGTGAATTTATAATACTACACAAAATCAATAAATATACAATACTTACAGGGATCACTAGGCTTGCGTTTCTCCCCTTTCGGTTTGTTTTCTTCAAGTTTCTCTTCAGGCTTTGATTCTTCTTCTGTGTTCACATAGTTATAGCTCAACTGATGATATCTAGCTATGTCATCATCATTAACCTACAATATGATTATACTCATTACTTTAAGTAATACATTGTTTAAATATAACGTTATCTAACAATGTCATCATCTGCCAACTACCCAAGGCAAAAAATCTTGACGGTTTTCCATTGATGGGCCAACATAAATGTGATGGTTACAATCTAGAATTCCCATTAAAGACCAACAAACAGCTTGATATGACCATCAAAACTGCCCAACATCCTCACCTCTAAAAAATTGGCACCTCTTTTAAGTTGGGCCAACGTAGCATACCCAACATAGTATTATGGATTTTTATGTTGGACTAACATAGCATACCCAGTATAGTATGATAGACTTTTATAATTGGCCAACAAAAAAAATCCTTCATGACCCAATATAATTTACTGGTTACCATAATTATTTTCCATCACAAACCATCATACTTTAAATTCGGACTATCAAATCTGCCCAATATCCCAAGCTAGGAAATGGCACCTTTTCATGTTGGGCCACCACAGCATACCCAGGGTTTTTATAATGGGCCAACAACAACAAAAATTTTTTTTTATCATGATCCAATATAATTTATTGCTTACCATTATAATTTTACATAAAGGGGTATAGCTTGCTTTTGGTATAATTCAACATGAATGAAGAAAGAACATGGAGAAAGAAAGAAAATGGAATTTAAAATTTCAAACAAAAATATAAACTGCACATTTCTACAACTAAATATTGCAATAGTAAACCAACTAATTTTAAACCTCAAGCTTATTATTTAAATGTCCTGTTGTTGTTATTAAAAGTAAAACATTGTAAAGATGATATCAAGCAATGTCATCATCCTCGTAATATAATTATACTAATTACATAAAGTTAAACCTTGTTTAAATAAAATTCTTTGAACACAAAGTTTATTCAAGACTAACATAGCAGACTCTTGATTATCCAGCAAACACAGTAAAGTCTGTTACATTTCAATTGAAAAATAAATAAATAAATTTAAAAAAATCATTTATGCATGGATAGCCTAAAAAATTTAACCTTAGAAACTATATCAATATGTATTTGTAATTAATGGCATGTTTAAATAAATGTTTAAGTATCGTTTAAATAAATGTTTAAGTATCGTTTAAATAAAATTCCTTTAAAATAGAGTTTGTACAAGACAAACATAACAGACTCTTAATTATCCAGCAAACAAACACAGTAAAGTCTGTTACAATTCAATTGCAAAAAAAAGAAGAAGAAAAAAAAAACCAAAAAAAATTTTTTATGCATGGATACACTAAAAATTGTAACCTTAAAAACCAAACATATGCATTAATGGCTGAAATTTTTTAAATAATTATAATTAAAAACATACTGTGATGACAAACAAAAAAAATTACCTTGTTTTTGACACTTTTATACTTAATACTCCATATAAAATAATGTATTATTAATGTTAATGTAATAATATAAAATAATGTATTTAATGGAAATTTGTATGTATAATACTTTCATAAATTTAACAGTTGAAAAATTATAAGTAAAAAGTTATAATAGTAGAGAATAAACTGTAACAGACTAACACCTGAGAAAATAATAAATTCATTCCACAGTTTCAAAAAATGCTAACTTATGTAGTGTAATCTATTATATAAGTTGATCTGAAAATTGAAAATAACAATAATTAAAAAACAAACATTCATGTAAAAATTTGATGACTTCTCAGCATCATTCAATAGATACTCTTGTAAAACTCAAAATACTAAAAAAAAAAAAAAAANAAAAAAAAAAAAAAAAAAAAAAAAAAAAAAAAAAAAACTTCAAATGGCCCAATACTGAATCCATGCAGAAAATTGAAATCATTGGAATTACTATGATTCAAACGTGCAGTCAGGGTTGTAAAAAATACAAAAAGAAAAAAAAATACGACTTAAAACAATGCGTAAATATATAGCAATAATTGCCAACCACGACAGTTTTTGGAAAATATTTAATAAAGTGGTAGACAATAAAAAACTAAAGCTTTCAAAAGTTTTAGCAATTTTTTCAATATTTCAAAAGCCTCACAAATAGAGAGCTGGAAGAAAGTGGCATTTTAGATGAATATAACTAATTTACATGTAGTGCACAGGAAAATAACTTCTTTTATAAAACAAAGAATCATACATTAAAACATAAACTTAGCTACCATTGCAAGAAGATTTCTGCATAGGAAGTTAGCAGCTCTGTAGTTATTGTAACTAAAAATTTTATCACATTTTTAATGAATGAAAAAAATTGAAGATCAAATCTGTTAGTTTGACTTGCACCTTTAGAATTGAAATTTTAATGCCCAAGCTTATATCAAACAAAAATAGCTCATTAATGTTTCTTTAAAACAAATTAATTGGGGGGTAAAATGCAAAGCAAGACTAAAAATAAGAAATGCAATATTTGAGTGAAAATAATGATTGCTCAGAGAGACTATGTTCTAATACTTTGCATTGAAATTCAACTAATAATAAATGAATATTTATATATACAGATGATCTCCTTCCAAACAAAATCAACTTCTCCCAGAATTCCAGAAGAAAAAAAAACTATAAAAATTTTACTGATCTTTGTAACTTAGATTAGTAAGACTTTTCTTAATCATATTTTAAAATTTTATTTATAAAGTATTATGGAATAAGAAGATATGATAAACACAGAAATAAACCTGATAAAGAAATAAACCTGATAATTACTTGTTTTTTTTTTTTAAAAAGAAAAAGTTTGATGGCATTAAATAAAATAAATAAACATCCTAATTTTTGTTTAAATTAATACTAATTTTATTTAAATTTAAAAATGAATTGATGAAATAGATTTTAATATCATGGCTTAACAAATTTAATAGAAAAGAAAAACTATTATATTGGTACTACTTATTAAAATAATTCTGATAACAAGAAGAAAAAAATACACTGTTCAACATGAGTTTCAATATATGACTGGTTATATTTAAAATAGTTTTAATGCCAAATAATAGATTAAACACATTTGTTGCAAAATTGTAAGTGAATATTGATAATAATTCGAGAAAATTCAAAGTTTGTTAGTAGCATTTTTAAATTCCCTGAGTTTCTTTCTTTTCCTTTTTCGGTGTTTCTAGAGGGACTGCTACCCTGATATAATAATGAAATTCAAAATATTAACAACAAGTTTTATTTACCTTAGGAAACCATGCTTGTTTTTCTTGATTCCACTCATAAACTGTGCCATCGTCTGGGCTAATGTAAGTGTATGGATCAGTTACACCTTCTTCTGTAAGTTCTTTTTTCGTCTTCTCTAGCTTCTCCAACTCCAGTTGGGCTTCAAATTCTTGATTTGCCATGATCTTTTGTGTTTAAAAAAAGAATTAGAAAAATACTTACTTTAATTACAACTAACAAAATAATATTTTTATATAAAAAACATATACAGTAGGGAACCGATTATCCGGAATGATCGGGAACATCGCTATTCCGGATAACTGATTTTTCCGGTTTCCTGAATCGCTACAAAAAGCCGTTTTTTTTTTATTGTTAAACCCAACTAAAAAAATAAAAAATATTTGGAAATAATCTCAAAAAGAAGAAAAAACGATGAAGTAATACACTAATGATTATTTCCAAAATGATGGTAAGGTAAACATCTTTCAAAAAAGAAAGAAAGATCCTAAAATCTTATGAGGAAAAAAAAATTTTTTTTGTTTTTAAATGGCGGGAAAATTTATTGAATTTCGTTCCGGTTTTTCGGTTTTCTGATTTCCGGATAATGGGTTCTGTACTGTATATATATAGTGAAACCTTGGTTAAGCAGACATTCTAAGGACCAAAAAAATTGTCCGTTTATGAGAGTTGTCTGTTTACGAGGAGGGTATGCTGATAACGAAGTTTAACACCGTAAATTGCTTTTAGAATATTTTCAAATATATAGAAATAATTAAATAATCTAGAATAACTATCTACAAGGACATTTACTTAAACTTTAAAACATATTTTTTCAATAAAAAATAATACATAAAAAAGTTTGATATAAATACATAATTCTAGAAATGAGTTTCACATGAAAAGAAACTGCAAATGGCACAGATAAGAAGCATGTAAATAAAGTGATTCTTCAATTTGAGCAATATTTTCCATCTTTGCTAGAAGTAGCAAATGGACAAATGAATAAAATAGTTACAATAGAAGTTTTAAAGCTATTTTTATTTGTTTGATGCATCACAGTGTTATCTACACACATTTATGTAGTACAAGACTCAGTGTTTTCACTACAGCGCGAGAATGCGAGAATCTCGCATACTTTTTTGCATTAAAAAATTTTAACCGCGAGAAATTCGCGCATTCTATAAATCAATTTCAAAATTTGCCAATTTCTCGCATTTTGGATAAAGCTTAGAAATACGCCATTTAGAATAAAATCCGTTTCACTTTTCTTCCTGGATCTTTCATTATTTTCAACATCTGCCCCGTAATCTAGCTTCCCTATTTACCAGTATTGTTCAGAACCTTTCAGAACAACAGAGCACCATCCTTCTGAACCACGGAACCTCTTTCAGAACGCATTTCTCTGCAACTACGTGTTTACCGTAGGTAAGGATTCTTCATGTAAGATGTTCAAATTTTTTGCTCGTTAATGTAAGACGGACAAATACCTTGTAAAGCCAATATCTTCTACTCCGAAACGGACAAATGAAAATGAAAAAGATGTGGGTAGAAATGATCAAAACGAAACAAATACGCATTTGAGCAACCTAATGAGAATAGCTGATGAAAAAGTAGATGTGGAACATTTTCCATATGATGATGCAGAAAAAATATTCAATGGTTTAAAAATTAGAAGATGTTAAAAATGCATTATAATAAAAGAAATGAATTTTTTTCAAGTCTCTTGGTGTTTTGTTTTTTAATTTTTGAAATCTCACTTAACTTTTTGAAATCTCACCCTGTTTTTGAGAAAGGGTGAGAAATTCTCACCCATTTTTTTTCTGAGATGAAAACACTGAGACTATTAATAGTAACCTATTAATAGGTTATAAATTGCTGTCATGATGAATCTGATAAGATGGTTATCATAAAATGAATATGATAATTCTGCCAATATAGCCCCAAAAAGGTTCAAGTTAAAAAAGTTAGGCTGTATATATTTGATGGGAGGTAAAATAGTGAAAAATCTTTTCTCATGACTTTAAATCAAAAGTTATAATAAGAAAAACTATACAATCAGCACCTCGCATTATATTTCTGTGATTCGTACAGGCATTTTACAAAAATTTGACTTCAACTATAGCATTTTCAGTTAACACTGCAAGTAAATTTCGTTTCTATTTTTTTGAAGGATAATTAAAAATATTTTCTTAAACTCCTATAAAAATGATAGCATAGGTTAATATTAAGACATTGTTGATTTTTGTTTTAACATCAAAAATAGTTGATTTGCAAAAGTATAATGTGCGGCAAATCATAGGTAATCCTCTACATTTTTTTCTGCATCAGTGTTTAAATCCAATACCAGAGATGCCAACTTGCTCCGGACAGCGAATAAATATTTTCAAGTGGTAGTTTATTAATTGTGATTCTTGGTTTAATAAATTCAATTTAGTAGATTTTTATCCACCACTATTTTTAAACAATTCGTAGGCTTATATAATTTCTCACTCTTACCAGCCTTGCAACATTAGCGCAGAGATGCGAACTGCTCCGGACACGCCATAATAGTTTTAAAAACAGTAAATAACTTCAAATTAAAATTTTTAAATATTTGACTAATTTTGCTTACCTTTTAACAGGTTTAACATGTTTTACTGTGATAAAGTAGTGAATATATAAGCCTATGAATTATTTAGAAACAGTGGTAGATAACAATCTAATGAATTGAATTTATTAAATAAAGAATCACAATTAATAAACTATTACTCGATATTTATTCGCTGTCCGGAGCAAGTTGGCATCTCTGCAATACGTGTCTTAATGCTTGTAGTTGGCAAGGCAGATTACTAAAGGGGGAAGTCTCCTTATTGTTCCTTAACAATGTCTCCTTATTGTTCATTTTTTTTTGGGGGGGGGGAGATTTCTGTATCGTGGATCTGTAACACGGATATATTCTATCTATTTCAAGTAAATACTGTTAAAAAAAATCTGAATCTCTACGTAAAATAGCATTTTAAAAGCATAGAAAAAAGGTAGAAATAGTAGTATTCATAATCGACTAATATTGACCTAGATATTACGTGTGGGGAGACAATGCGAATAGACATACAAGATAAAAAAAATTAAACGTATTGATTTCATTCTCAATGCATACATTGAAAAATAAAATGCAACTTACAGTATTATAACCAAAAAACGGTTAACTTCAAAGAACATTGTTACAAATAACTCATTTAAATACAAAATACTGAATAAATCTACTACATACCGTACTGATTTATATGCTTGCTATAAAATTGGTGTATTATTCATAACAAAAGATAAAATAATTAGGACTAAAATGAAGTTCTTACAGCAACAACAAACACTTGCGTTAGTGAGTAAGCACCTGCACTGGTGTCCGCTGTTATAACCATAATCAGTCAATATTATTTCAGCTTACAGCTTTTTATCTTCAAAACTAATGTGCGGCAAAAAGTAAGGGTTATTTTCACTAGAACAAAAGTTGGTCGCATGTGAATGAGAAATTGTATGACGCGTTTTTAGAACGTAAATATAGTACACATGGTTAAATTAAATTAGTCAATTTATTCTAGGAAATAAAACGTTCTAGGATGGTGTACTGTTTTAATCCATTTTTGTACAAAAAATCTATTTCTTTAAATTTAACTACGGTTTCCAGTTGAACACCAAAGTGAAGCATCACTAGCTGAGGTCAGTGAGCGGGTGGATAACCACTTTTATCAGACTGTGTTGGGACCGAGGGTGTATGGCTCTCGAGTTTAAGGCACGAGGCTGCTCGGTATCGTACGCAGGTCTTCGGGCTACAAAAGTAGGGGAACCATCAGAGGATCAAAATTACGATGGCATGTCTTCAGATCACACTATTCTAATTGTGCGGTCTATTCTAATTGTTCAAGAAATGTGAAAAAGATCTATAAATTTGGCATTTTAAATTATATGAAATTTCATTATATATTTGAAATTATTTAAATAGTGTTAAGTGTAAAAAGTTTTACTTTTTATACATATAATATGTATGTATAGAGAAGTTTATAGTAGTTATATTTTCTTTTCATCTGTTAGCTCTTAATTGTTCCAGTAAAACAAAAATTTAAATAATTTTGTTATTTAATCACCTAATGAATTGTTTTGTTATGAAATTTCTTTTCTAAATATTTTCTTTAAACACTACCTGCTTTTTTAAAACTATTTAATAAAATATTAATACATATAATTTATTAATACCATGCATTTTAAGTTCCGTTGTTGAATTAGACAGCATTCTTATTGTGCTATTAGCACTTTTAATCTTATTGTGTGATTATAGTGTAATTTTTTTTTTAAATTTTAGGTGCAAGAAATTGTATCGCAAGAATTGTAATTGTATTGTATCGTTAGATGCAAGAAATTGCAGCTAAATTGTATCGTTACAGAATGTTGATATTGACAGACTACACAACAGATATAGATTGCGTTCAAGGTATTTTAAAATTGAAGATTATGTATCAGAAAAAATGCCTACCATTGTATAAGATGACCATTGTAAAAACAAAGGACAACGAGCATAAATATTAACGTCTGTAAATAGGTTTTCTTTCCAAAAAATTTGCTGTAAATTGCAGTTTTTTTTCAAGAAATAATACTTGTTTCCCTTTTATTAGAAGCAAAACAAATAAAATAAACTAACAATATTTCGAAATTTTCATTTTAATGCTTTATCATGACTTTTTTAAAAAAGAAAAGACGTTTTGTTAAGCTTTAAAAGTCATCTTGAAATTCAGCAATAAATCTCTGTCCCTTCTCCCAAAGCATTAATTTATCTTTTGTGCTCAAACTGCAAACTGTACAATATGGGAATTGAATTGATTATTCATGGTTATTTTTTTTTATTTTTTTAACTTTTCATTTCTTTTGGGGGTGCAAAAATTTTATGAATATAGTGATGTTTAGATATTTTTGTTTGAATAAATAACGCAAAGTGAACCAATATTGCATCTTTTAATTTTACGTTATTTTACTTCATAAACTTGTTCAAATATTTATTTATTGCATAAAATGTATGCAATTTTATTTGTGTGATTTTTATTTTATTGAAAAGTATATTCCTAAAATATATGTCCGAAAAGAATTTTTTAGATAAGTTTAAAGAAGATAAAGCAAATTTTGCAAGTAACAAATCGAAAAAGTTTTTTCTTCAAGGGGGGAATGAAGTTTTATTATATTATGAAGTTTAATAAAATTTACTTTTGATATATAATTATTTACTACTTTAAAATAAATTATAATCGTGCTAAATTTGTCAGCTGAAAAAATTTAAAAGCAAAATCGAATATAATTAACGGAGAAAATATTAGTGCATTGCGTGGAGTCCCGCAGTGGACTGATCGTTAAGACACGGTTCTCATTAGATCACCGAAGTCAAGCATCACTGGCTGCGGTCAGTGTGCGGGTGGGTGACCCACTTGGATCAGTCTGCGTAGGGACCGAGGGTGTGCGGTATTGGTCCTCGTTAAACTGTGCTACCGTAAAGTGCTCGACTTCGCGCGCAGGTCGTCGGGCTACCGAAGCGGGGGTGCCATCCCCTCCGCAGAGGATCAAAATTGTGATGGCATGTCTTCGGATCATCCTCCGGGATGTTTCCCAGACCGTCGCCAATAGCCCATTGTGCAGCTCTA